TGCTAAGGATATTTCAGGTGATGGTGAATGCGGAGCTTGATGAAGCAGATGAATGGACATATACACATCCTTGAGTACTTGTCTAAAACCCAACCCAATTGCCCACATCTCCAGATGGGCTCCCTCTCCCATTCCCACAGCCAAAAACTCCCTCACCAGATGGGCTGAGGCCATGAAACAAGGCAATGAGGCAGAGCGAAGGCAGGGCTGCTCTAGCTTCTGTTGCCAGAGAGGCCGAGACTAAAGAACAGTATTTTACATCTGGGGGTTTTGTAATGGGGTGGTCCCCAGGAAAAGGGGAGGTTCCAGGTTTCTTGCCCTACCCAAAGGAAGGCGAAGATGAGCAGGGAGAAGAAGCATCTGCAAAAGGGACTGAAGAAGGAAGGACGCAGGATGGAGAGCCATTGATGCGGCGGATGGCAGAACTTATTTAGAACAGGCAGGTTTGCAGGGTTGGGGGTGCCCCTCTCCCTGCCCTGTAACAATTTGAGGAAAGGAACATTCATACAGAAGGAACGGCAAAATGTGGAAACCCTGATTAGTATCTTTTTTCCACCCATTCTTGGCACCTGTGTGTGTGCATGTCAGCACACACACTTGCACACACACATACCCACACACGCTCATCTGAAACTCATGAGTATCTTCCATTCCTACATTTCCAGGCCCTTGAAGATGATCCCTTAGGTGGAGTGACAGCAGGGCCAGGATACCAAGGGACCAGGGTCCCAGCTTCAATCCCTTTGAGTGTCAAGTCTCATCTCCACCTCTCTTTGTGAAGATCAAATGAGATGAGGTGTTCTTTCTTAACCTATCCTGTCCATTGTAGAGCATAAGCATAAATGACTTACTATTCAACAGTATAAAAATGCCTACTTAAAACAGTTACCTAGGAAAGGCTACTAATATTCTGATAATGGGCTTCCATATTGTTGTGTGTTTTAATTAGAAAAATACTTTCTATTGTAGCCAAAAGATGATCAGTAATTCCACCTGTCTTTTAGTTCTGATAGGAGGTCAGAAATTTACAATATAACATAAAAGTCAAGAATACAGGCCTTGGGCCTCCCAGGTGGCGCAGCGGTTGAGCTCTGGGTTGTGAAGCTGCCTGCAGCCTCTGCAGCACTGGTTCGATCCCTGGCTGCTCCCCAGCCACCAGAGGAGGGTCCCACATGGCGCGCAGACCTCTCCTGACGCCCGCTGCTCCCCTCCGCAGTGTGCTTCGGTCCTTCTGCCTGCTCTGCTCCCTGCTCTGGCTCTGGTGAATTCTCTCACCGTCCTGCGCTTCTGACTGTACCCAGTGCTTGTATAAATAAATAAATATTTAAAAAAAAAAAAAAAGAATACAGGCCTTGTTTGTAAAAGCTGATTCAGACACATACCTGCTGTGTGACCTAGAGCAGATTGCTAAACCTCTCAGAGGAAAACAGGACCAGCTTGTAGGATGTTGGTCTAGATTAAGTGGGATAATGCATTAAAAGGCCTGAGTATAGCCCTTGGCATTCCCTGGTCCTAGCTGTGACGACCAAATTGCTTGTCTGCAAAGGGGACTCTCATTCTTCAGTCACTGGGAAAACCCTGCCACTCAGACACTGTAGCTAAAAATAACATTTCATGTTCATCATGTGACCAAGAGGCTCCTGTGGCTTTTCTCTCACACTCAGTCTGGAAGGCTGGTTAGAGGACTACAAAGTGAGGGAGAACAGGGTCTGCCCTGAGGATGTTGGGGTGGTTGCTGACTTGCCCATGCTATGCATGCTGAGCACCCCACCCCCCAACATCCAGCTGCTGTGGGTGTGGTCACAGTACACATTCAAAGCCAGGCAGCCAGGGGCTGTTTGCATTCAGGCCCCAGAGCAGCAGATGCAGAGTGAGAGCCCTATTTACACAACCAGTCTCCATGGCAACATGGAAGTCAACAGGTAGGACATTCCTTAAGCTGGCAGAAAAATCCTGTCCCCATCTTGCACCTCCAGGTAAAGGAAACATTCCTACAATGAGCAGCAAGCAGATCCTCAAACAAACTCTTCAGTAGAAATGCAACAGAAAAATTTGGAGCCAAAACACATCAGTATTCTGGGCAAACAGCTTATTCCCAGATGGGTTTAATTCCTTTTTCCTGTGAGGTCTGGGCACCCTGAACAAGGTCTATGCATTGTGCAGTTGGTGGAATCAAGGCCAAAGATTGTGACTCTCAGCTGCTGCAGAAAAGCACACCACTTAGTACAGTGAAAGCTCAGGCCAGAGAGGGGTGTCGCCACCTTGACTATTCATTCCAAAGCAGACTCAGGGTCAGCCTTTCACTGGAAGACAGTGAACAACTATGCAGGCAAATGTGCAGCACAGAGAACCAATCTCCCAATTTAACAGACCTCCCTGAGGACCCTGCCACAAGGCCTAAGATGCCCAACCCCATTCTTAGCAACCTTGGTCTCAATGTCAGTATCCCTGCAAAGTTAACAAGCAAAGGACCTTCAGGAAAGTGAGGCCTTTTTTGAAAATGGATGGCAGCTCCAAGGCTAGCTACCAGACTCATAAGCATGTTAACAGATGAGGCAAAAATTAAAGGCCTGAACCAGGCTGGTGGCTGTGGCCAAAGGCAGTAAACATGTGGCACTGACAATAGTGATACCGGAATTGTCAGGCCTAGTCTCCCAGCCAGGAACGGATCCCAGGCTGCAGGGGCAGTGCTGAGCCCCAGCCACTAGACCCCCACGGGTTGGTGTCTCACGAAGCCGCAGCAGGAACTTCGCAGATGCTCAGGCAAGCGAGAAGAGGCAGGTTTGTTTAGAGAAAGAAAAAGTTTATTGAGGAGAAAAAGAACAGAAATAAAGTGGGACTCCCAGGAGGGGCAAGGAAGCCAAAGTGGGGTCGTGTCTCAGGGAATATATACCTTCTTTCCCTAATTATTCTAAAGCTCCATCAGTCTCTTTGTGATTGGTTAGTTCTCGGCTGTCTCACTTAATTTGCTACTGAGTGGGGGATCTTCACATTCCTTATCTAACAGGTCTGTCTTTCCCCATTTGTTGCATCTTTATCTTTATGGCCCAGTCCTCTGGATGGACATCCCTGCATTGAAGTTAAACAGGTGCCCTTCTAAGTTGTCCATAAATTAAACCACTCTCCCATTTCTCCAATCTCCGCCTCCCTTTACCACCTGAAGGAAAACAGGACCAGCGTTAACAGTGTTGTCCTTGGTCCTGAGATGTTTGTTTTTCCCAGTGGAATTGGTTACATTCCCTTGGTTGTCCTTATCTCTGAAGCCTCCCTAAATTCTTCAGAGATCCCCTCCTGCACTGTCCCTAAAACTGCCTAATAACTCTAGCTTGCCCTGTGTCTCAATAGGATGGAAGACGATGTAAGATGTGGCAACAGATTAGGCTGTAAAAGGAAGGAAATCCAGAGATTTCCAAACTGTTCATGGGAACGGGAGTGAGAGGTAGATAATCACATAATTGGTTCAAAGTTAAGAGAGGCAATATCATCTTAAGAAGCTTGAATGTTTTCTAGTCCAAGAGGGGAGGAGAAGCTGCCAGAATGAATTTATATAGTTTAAGGGGGAAAATTCATCAGTCACAAGGGGCATTGGTCAGCAATGGAACACGGAAAAATGGTTCTCGTCACAGGTGAACACGGGCAATACCTATCAAAGCATTGTCTCGGGTACATGTCTGTCCAGGCTCTCCTACCTCACAGTGTTAAGAGAAGACTCCAACGGCTAGCATGACCCTTAAGTTTACTGTCCAAACCAAGCCACTGTTGACAGCAAAAGGGACATTATTAATCATGCTGGGACAATAAGCCAAGACTGTCCCAAGCAAATCAGGTTCTATGGTCACCCTACCTCACTAATTCATTCAAAGGTATTGTTCTCATTGCAGCCTTCTGACTATGGCTAAGACACACATTGGATGATTTTTGGTTTTCAATTGCTTTTCTGTTTTTTATTAAGGTAACATTGGTTTATCTTGCTGTATGTGTTTTAGGAATATACATTCACACATCTTCAAATGTATGTCACCATACCATGCCTAGCACGAAAGCACTTAATAACCCTCCACTAAATCCACTGGACCTCCTTTGTATTGACATAGCTAAAAACTGGGATGCTTCTTACAGTTGATGTGGGCATTAAATACAGAATCCTTCCCTCCTCCACAAACCTTTTTTAAGTTAATAGCACATCTTACAGCCAATGATAGCTTACAATCAAGGACAGAGAGTAATTTGGCTTCCCATGTAGTATAACATGAAGGAAGATGCATTGATCAGAGAATGTCCTCCAATCAGACATTTATTTCCATTGGAAAATAATAAGTGAGTATTCTTGTGAGCTTGGTTAGTTTGAATCCGTGACCAAAGATTGGGTTGTAAGATTACAAGGCTCAAGTCCAGATCAAGGACTGGGATGAATTTACTGAGGCCATTCTGTCCTCTGGGTACCTGTTTTGGGAAGTCCTGCACCTTTACCCTGGGGACAACATTTGGCATCACCATGATTTTTCCCCATTTGAAATAGTAAGACAAGGAAAGGATCTTGTTCATAGCTAATGGACTTAAAAGGCTAGTGAGACATTAAAATGAAAATGGCAGAAAGCAGAAGTTGAATGAGATGTGTATGGGTCCTACATAATTGAAAGAAGAAATTATTTTGCTTGTGTCCAATATATCCATAGTTCAGATAAGCCAACAGAGGTGGGAAGTAAATATATGCAGTTAACAAAGAAATTTCAAGAGAGTAAATAGATTTGCCTGTTAAGTGCCAAATTGAATAGACTAGTGGGGCTTAATGTTTGCAAACTCCTAGGAGTATAGTTTGGGGGAAACATCTTGATTGATTAGCCATGTCTAGTATAGGCTCATAAGTTAGGAGAGGGGTAGGCAAGGAGTTAAAACATAATTATATTAAAAGGATTATAAAATGTCATTAGAGATGTTTCTTTGACAAAATCAACAATAATGAGATACTGTGCAAAGTGGTAAAGAGCAAATCAACTTACTTATTTTGTCCAATTGTCTCAAAATCTTTCACAACAATCCCAAGGGAAGATGAAATGTCCAGTGGAAAACCCCTCAAATCAAACTCCAAAATCTGTCCACAAAAGGATGTAAAAACAAGACTGTTAAAGGGCTGATATTAAGATGAATGGATACTAAACATCTGTACCAATGACTATCTTATGAATTATAGATAGAAATGATTACATTCTGAATCAGAGGGTTGGTGAAGAGCAAACCAGATTAGACTCAAAGGGGCTGGAACATCTGGTTTCCCATTTTCTAGGCTCTGTAGCTTTAGACCAGTCACCAGACCCTTGTCTCACAGTCAGAGAACTGACTTAACACCTACCATAACTGCTGCAAGAATAAAATGAAATGTGTGTGTAAAATGCTTTCTTCAATGGTTATTTTAAAATTACTTGTTCTTCCTAATCATATTGTTCTCAAACAAAGAGATGAATCATCTAAGAAACAAGTTCTAAAATACATCAACCCCAATTTTAAGTCCCACTGTGGTCAGTGCTATTGTCACATGATACTTGTATCTTAATCAAATAAATTGTTGCTTTATGGCAAATGTAAAAAAAAAAAATCAGGGCCTCCCCTGGTGGCACAGGCAGTTGAGCGCAGCACTGTGAAGCTGTCCTCAGCCTCTGCAGCACCGGTTCGATCCTGGCTGGCCGGCAAGGGTCCCACATGGCGCTGCAGACCTGTCGTGCCTGCTGCTCCTCTCAGCAGTGTACTTCAGTCAGTCTGCCTGTTCTGTTCCCTACTCTGTCTCTGGAGAATCCTCGCACCCTCCCTTCATCTGGCCTGTACCCCGGTTCTTGTATAAATAAATAAATAAATCTTTTAAAAAATCAGCATGACACCAATTGGCGTGATGATGCCTCCGATTGGTTCTGTAATAAATGAATTAAACAAAGCAGCGTCTATTGATGAAATTGATGTTTCTCCTTGTCACTGGATGGGGATGGACTGAGAAGGCACCTCACAGCTCACGTCAGAACACACCCACGGACACCAGTGGATTGGGCATTATCATTTCATTTAGGTTTGGTTTCAGTTATAAAACTACAACTGGAGTGTTTACTTGATAAATAAATTGGCAATGGAGGGGAGGGAATAAATGTTGGAAAATAAAATAAGATAATGCCCTGAGGAGAGGCCCTGACCTGATCACACCCCTTTCTAACACTGGCCATTTGGGCTCACCTGTTAAGTATAAAAAGTATAAAGTATAAAGAGGCCTGTTAAGACTATTCAAAACCTGAAGCACTAAGCGCACACAGATATGAGCTTTTCATCTGCTTGATTTTCCTGGAGCCTGTGTGAGGGGCTTGGATTCCACAGGTTCCAACCAGATGAGCCTCTTGCTCTCAAAGACCAGGTAATCAGCTACTCATGTCATGAACTGCAGTGAAATTGCAGAGAAGTAGAACTCCCTCCAACCTGCGTGAGATCTGTAGGGTCTTCAGAAGGGCACTAAGAAAAGCTAGTAAAACTAATGAGGGGGAGAAAACATTTGCAGCAGTCAGTAGAGGGGACCATCTTCACAGCCTAGAGACTTAGTGAAAACAACAAAGACTTTTATCACTGTGTTTACCCAGGGAGGTTGGACCCACCTTGGGAAAAAACAATGAGGCTGATGACTAACTTTTAAAAAAACTAGTCAGGATAGGAAAATCCTACTCGGTAGAAATAATTAAAATTTTCACATATCTGAATTAAACACTACTAAACCATTTATAAAATAGATATAAAGTCAACAGTGGGGGAAGGAAGTAAATAAATGATATCTCTTCAATAGAATATGACATAGTCATTAAAAATATTTTTGAATGGAATGATATGACATAGGCTCAGGATATGACATTAATATGGAAATAATAGAAAATTTCCTATTTGCAATTCATATTTGTCATATGATGCTAAATTGCTCATTTTATTAAATATGTTAACTTAAAAAGCATTTATTATACATCCCAAGTGTTAACAGTTGTTGCCACTGGATAGTGGAACCAAAGGTAATTTTTTACACTAATCTGAGGTTTCCAAAATTTCCATGTTAAGTATATATTATTTTTATTTACACAAAAAACAGTAAATGTCATTACTTAGACACACAGTGTCACATAAGCACTCCTGAGGAGCTGCCTGCAGATATATCTTTAGTTGTGGAGCTTCCCCCCGGGGGACTCCTGAAAGGATCTAGTCCCTCCCCTGGCTCTACAGATGTGCCCCAGATATGCAGCATAGCCTAACCAAGTGGTACAGCCAGCTCCGGGCTGGAACCCACAGATCCCTACTTCTGTCCAGGCTCTGTGAATCACACCACCCTGCACAGGACACGTCATGGTATTGTGTCTTCCTGAACTGCTCTCCTCTGGGTGAGCACAAAGGGATGGGGTGGGGCTGAAATGCACAGCTTCTCCCCCTAAGGGAAGAGCCAACCTCTGACCAAAGCTGAGACCATCAGATGCAGTTTATCTACTGAAACAACAGTTTTACTTAAAAAAACACTTAAACAAAGTTAAAAAACAATGAAGTCACCTCATTCCAGACAGGGTTGAGTTCATTATCAACTTTCTTTGTTTTCTTTTTCTCATCTGTAAATACAAAATAAGAATTATCGATCAATTAGAAATATCTATAGAAAAGGTACCACTCAAAGAACATTTTTTTGTTCATTCAAAGACCATTTACTGGGCCTCCCTGGTGGCGCAAGGGGTTAAGCACCACACTATGAAGCAATCTGCAGCCTCTGCAGCACGAGGGCCAAGGAGCAACCCACATGGTGCAGCAGACCTATCCTGTCTCGCCTGCTCTCCCCTCAGCAGTGTACTTCAGTGAATCTGCCTCTTCTGTTCCCTACTCTGTCTCTGGCGAATCCTCTCATACCCCTCCCACCAACACACACACACACCTCTGGCCTGTACCCCAGCTCTTGTATCCATAAATAAATCTTAAAAAAAAAAAAACAAAGACTATTTACTCCTGAGGACCAACCACAAGTGTCCATTTCCCCATTCACCTTCCCCACCTGAAGCCTCCTGCACCACAGAGTTCCAAACTGAATGGCAGTTTGTTTACCCATCCCGAGTTCAACAGGGGTTAGCGAAGGAGGAACTAAGATTCATGAAAATATCTGACCCTCTATCTCTCCCTCACCAACTCCTGCAGATCAAGGTAACCCATGGGCTTCTGTGGCTCCTACTTGTTGCAAAGATAGTGAAACAAACCTTTGACATGCAGCCGTCACCATTTTATAAATAAGGATACTAAGACTCAAAGAAAACAAGGGATGCATCTAAGCTCATCCTGGCATTGGCGCCCTGATATAAACCTGGCATTTTAGATCTGAAGACCCTGCTGCATCTGCATGTGATGAGACCTGTGGTGCCAGCAACGCACAGGACAGGTTCTCTATGGGTCCAGGCAGAGGACAAAAGACAGTCCTGGTGCCCTCAGTGGCTTTTTCAGACTTTTAATGATCTTCGCTTGTAGTGTGGCAACCAGGCGCGGGGCAGGCAGGCAGGGGAGCCAGAAGCTGGTGGGCCTTCCAGCCTCCAGCGAATCTTTACCTACCCTGAGCTCTCTGGCGTTCTCTCATGGTCTCTCTGGCAGACTTCCACTGCTCTCTGCTGCACTTATATCCTCAGTCTCTCAGCTCAGGTGTGCCCCACTTACGCATGCCCACAACATACCCCAGGTGTCCACCATCAAGCATGAGTGCCCAAAGCCAAGTTCCTTCTGCATTCAAGGCCGCAGGTGAAAGCCACAGAGGCCAATGGTGCAAAAGCCTGAGCATCTTCACTGCTTAAACATGAGCCCCAATAGGCCTCAGTACAAGGTAATGAGTAAATGAATATTTTCTCTGGCCAGCAGAGAGGAGTTGCTTTTACTCCTGGCACAACTTTTCTGAGGAGACAAGGTTCACATTCTGTGTCAGAGACTAGGAGGTAGACCTACTAGCTGGGTGAGTGCCGATCTAGCCAGTGCTTAAAAGTTCCTTGGAGCAAGTCCAAAGAGCAGGGGCTTTTATTGGGCCTCTAAATCCCCAAATAGCTACCAAAAGAAATGTTAATGTTTCAACACAAAATGCTTTGCATGCATGAGCTCATCTATTTTTAGGGAAAAACACATAGCTTTCCCATGTGTGTCCCCTTTCCTACAACACAGAGAGCTCACAACACTTCTGCAACCAGATTTATCGGGGAGGGGAGGTCCCCCACCAAGCAATTTTCTGCAACACCAACTGGGTGTTCTACAAGTTACCTCAAATCTGGCTCCAGCTACTGGAGATAGTGTAGATCCCACAGGTTAAGGGCTCAGTCCCACAAGACTGCCCTCGCCCCACTTCAGATACCAATCACAAGTGCAGCTTGTTGCCTGTGCTTTCAACTGACCAAACGCAGTAGACCAGTTACTTATGCTTATCAGCTTATGAAAGGCTATGGCAAAGGACACAAAGAGTCAGATGAAGAGATACAGAGGGTGAGGCCTTGGGCAGTCCTGAGTGCAGGAGCTTCTGTTTCTACAAAGTTGGGGTGCACCATCTTCCCTGTTTGGGAAGCTCTCTGAATTCCCTACTACTCAGATTTTTACTGCGGCTTCATCACATAGGGATGTCAATGATTAACATTGTTTCCAGTCTTTCTCAAAGGAATGGAAAGAGGTTGAAAATTTCAAGCATCTAATCATGGTTAAGACTTTTGGTGACCCGGCCCTGTGCAGAAGTCACCCAGAGTAGCCTCACTAGAACAATAGATGTTCTTAGTGCTCTTATCGCTTGGGGATATGCAAGGACTCTGGCTCTGCGTCAGGGAAGGGCTCAAAGACCAAATATTAGAGCAAGAGATGACCCTGAGTTCTTATGCAAGAAATTACAAGAAATTACAAGAAATTGGGTCTCCCTGGTGGTGCAAGGGGTTAAGACACAACCTGTGAAGTTATCTGCAGCCTCTGCAGCATGAGTTCGATCCCCGGTCAGGGAGCTACCCACATGGTGCAGCAGACCTCTCCTGTTTCTCCCACTGCTCCCCTCAGCAGTGAATTTCAGTCAATCCGCTTGTTCTGTTCCCCACTCTGTCTCTGGTAAATCCTCTCACCCCCCACACCTCTGGCCTGTACCCCAGTTCTTGATTGCATAAATAAATCTTTAAAAAAAAAAAGAAATTACAAGGGTTTTAGGAGTTCTATGACAGGAACTGGGGCAGAGACTATATATATGTATATATACATGTATACACAAAACACACACACACATATATATATATATCTCCTATTATATCATCTGATCTTTAACCTTAGGAGCATATGTAATTATTTTCATCCCCCTTTCACAGCTAGGGAAACAGAAGTCACCAGTTAGAAGTGGCAGGACCAGATTTTGAAGCAAAGTAGTCTCACAAGAGCGACCATACTTGAAGCCAGGCCCCCGCTTTCTCTCTGCTGCTGTGGAATGTGGGAGGTGGTGGGTTTTGTTCAACTGAATGTCACATTGCTGAGGCTCCCAGCACATGGCTGGCTGTGAGACTAACCACCTCATTCTTTCAAGACCTCAGCATAGCAAAGCCTTGAGTCATCACCCTCACTCTACTAAGCATTAACTTTTCCACTTGAGTGGGCATTCCCTTCGCCCCACTGGCTTCCTTTTTTAAACTTCAGCCTGACTCTAATCAGCTCATGTCAGAGCCTGCGCTAATTAGATCTGACTGTGGTCTTTCCATTTGGCTTGCAGAGCCCTTCATCAGGTCCGATCCTAATGTATCCTAGAAGCTGTCCTAAAATTTCCACTCCCACACTTCTCCACTGATCCCATTCCTCATCTGACAGAAATCTCTCAACCTTCCTCTCTGCTTATAGTCTGAGAAAGTGCTCTTGAGAGGAAGCATGCAAAGGATTTTTAAACTGCTAGAACTGTGCAAAATGACTTCTACCCACAATTACAACAGCTCCTGCTAAACAACCACCCCTAATGCCTGACTGTGACTTCTGTTGTGTGTCTAAATCCTACAACCACTCTGCCTCATAAACATTCTCATCTCCATTTTGCAGACAAAGAATTGAGAGGAGCCTCGTGCTATTGACTTTCTTCTCTTGGTGGGAAAAGGAATGTTCCAGAGTCAGCAGGAGAATATGAAAAAGGCCATTTGTTCATTTGTTCATTCTGAAATATTTATTAAGTACCTACTATGTGCTAGCAAGTGGAGAAACACAAGTGTATGAGATACTTCTTGGCTTAAAACATTTCACAAATGCAACTTATGAGTCATTAAATAAAGGAACCAAGCAAATCTTTATGCATGTTTCCACCAACTGAAAAAAAGCCCCATCATGTGCTTGCCTGTTTCATTTTCATCTTGGAGTTCCTTCCTGTAAGAGGGAAGAAGAATGGAAAAATGACTAGTGAGGTCAGGACAGAGGAACTCACAACTCAGCCCATGATTTGACCCACTGAATGAGTTCTTCCACAAACATTAATCAGCTTCCTCATTCTTCATCCAACAAATATTTTTGAAATTTCACTTGCCAGGCACTCTGCTGGACATTGTTGGGGATATAAAGCTACCCAAGACATAGTTCCTATTTCCAGCCATAAGGGAGCTAGATGCAGCCAAGGGTGACTGATACAAGGCTGTAGTGGCCATCATGGTGGTCAGCTGGAACCACGTGATGTGGAAGGGAGCAGAGGCAATCAGGCTGTGTGGGGAAGTTATGGTCATGGAATGACCCACGAATGCCAGGTTGAGCATCAATGGGCTGATATAAGCTACTTAAGAAAGGGAGGTGTTATAACTTCAGCTCATAATCCAGCGAGAAAAAACAAGTTGCTCTACAATTCTTCCAATACATGTTCCTGAATACACAATCCAGTTTTGTGTTGAGAACAAAGGGAAACAGTTGAGTTCCAGCATATGCCTGCTGACCACAGACCAGGTGGGACTGACTATTCAAGTAGAACTTCCTGCAGCTCTTGGCACCTACACATAACATTAGTGCTTACGGTGCTAGCCCACAGAGGGTGCTCACTTCCTGCCAGGCATGTGCTAAGTCCCTCACATATATCATATATATCATTTCATTTAATCTCCCTAGCAAGCCTATGGGGTAGGCTCTGTTATCATCCCCTGTTTGCAGAGGAGCAAAACGAGTCCAAATGGTGAGGTAGCTCGTTCAAGATCACAGAGCTTAGACTGGCTGAACTCTAGAGTCCACGCATTTAACAACTGCACCCTTTTATCTCCCTAGCTAATAGGGAAGGATTAAGTAGCTGGCATTAGCTAGTCCCCTTCTGAAGAAACCCAGAAACCCTTCCAAGATGACTATGATTTTTATCAAAATGTGCATACAGTACATTTTATGGGAAGTCTATTCTCACACATAAACACCTCCGCCAAAACCAAATAAAAGTAGATATTTTTCTTTCTTATCAGCAACTAGAGAGTCTTACATGTTTATAGTTAAGTTATTCAATTATTCAATTCCACCTATTTGTTTTTCAAAAGGAAGATCAAAGTTGCGAGAACTAAATATCATGAAATTATAGAAATTCTTTCCCCTTCATGTCACCTATCACCCCTGGTTTCCCCCTCTAATTTTATTA